GGGGGGGGTAAATAGCCAGCACGGCACCTCTTCAACACGAGTGTGTCGTGCTACAAAGCCATGGACACACTGTAGCGAGTGTGTTATAAGGCTGCTTACGCACGCGCATGGCTCGGCAGGTGCCTGGGTTCAAACCCCAGTGGCAGCAGTTGCATCCCGGATCTTGATGATATAAAAGTCGGGGGCGGGGCGGGGCAGCGTGGGCGCGTGGCGCGCGCGCGCGTGCGGCGGCCTTGGCCTTGGCCCTTGCGCGCACGCATCGTGATGCAGCTTCCTTTTTCGCCACGTGGAGCTCTCCTGCTGCAGCACCTTTCTTCGTTGTTTTTCCCGCTTTTTCGCCCGAAAACGTCCGGAAAACAGCCAAAAAACCGACTGTCGGGTTTTGCCGTATTTCGTTGCTGTGCGGTGTGGTGGGTGGGGGTGGGGACCGTTCCCGCTCCGATACCAATGTAGCGGACCCACCAGGTGTGGTGCTCCGCTAGTGACAGAGATGGAGATGGAGGAAGAAGGGGGGGAGCTAGATGGCACAACGCAGCTCCCCACGCAAGACTCCAACGCACGTACTCCAAAATGTGCAAGTGAAGAATGAGACTGAAAACAGACAATGGTTGGGGTATACCCCAGCGGACTGACGGGACTGGACTGGACTGGCTGGTACCGATAGAGGTACCGGCCTGGACTGGCCTACCCCGAATACAACACAGGCCTGTAAGAACAGGCCAAGGGGCTGGTCTCACAGGCCTGGCCTGTTCTCACAGGCCAACCCGAGGTCCGCTACACTTGGGGCGCAAGGGTTTCGCCCTTCGGGACGCATGAATCGCGGTTTTCAGGCGCTTTCGTCCTTCTCTCCGTAGAGGCATAACTGTTCCTGGTACAAACCAGCTTTTGTCCGACATTCGTAGTGGGACTGTGGAACCGGGGGCGGTACCAATGGCAACCGGAGGTGCCAGTTTCGGCAGCGAAGGGTCATCACGCCGACCGTTACAAGGCGGAGGCTGTGTTGCGGGGAACGGTAGTGTGTTTTTTCAAATTCAAACCAACGTGCCTCGGGCGCGATGCGGCGGTGCTGCGTTTCCTTGCATGACCGTTGTTGTGCAGAGGAGCAAACGGGCAGGTTACAGCGTCCTGATGCGGTTCTGTGTGTCCTCCGGCATGGCAGTAGCGAGTCGCGTGGCCAGCATAAAGTGCACGATCATGGTGGTTGTGTGCATTGTCCATTGCCCTGTTGTCGCGTTCTGACGACGCACGTGCATATGGCAGACCTGTTGAGGAAGACTGCTCTCCTCGCTCTCCTCCTGTTCGCCTTGCTGACCGTTCTTGTCGTCCAGCTGTGGCAGCTAGGCAGGCGGGCTGCAGTACAGCATCAGCCGAAGTCGTCGAAGAAGAAGGTTAGGTTCGTAGGTGCAGAAAAGTCAATGGGGGATTATCGTTCAGGGGCGGGGCGAGAGCACGGGATGGAAGGGGCAGGCTTTACCAACGGGACGGATGTGCGGGAACATCGTTTTGATCCGGCGTTGTACTCGCATCTCCCCTCTTGGCAACAGCCCCTGCCAGACGATAATCATTGGGAACCGCCTTCGTCAACTCTTCCACTTGGATGGGGGTTGACGCTAACTTCTTACGACACGGTGGGGATACCTCACCGTCGTGCCAGTTCCTTGGGGCCCATGTCTGCGCTCCTCGGCAAAGTTCGCGAAGGTGGCGGACATCCTCTTGATCTTCATCTATCCCCTTCATGCAGCATGCACGTCTCGAGGACGCTGATCGTCGACCACAGCAGCGATGGCCGCCGTCCCATGAGAGTTGCAACGGACGTGCCTACGAAGGGATTGTCCAGCGCGTCAGTGAATCCGCAACAAGAAGTGGCGATGAAGAACATTGGTGCGGCTGCTGCGGATAGCGTGCAGAGGGGTGTAACGGGTGGGACGACGGCTGCGGAATCCCTGCCTGTCATTGAACGAATCATAGCGCGAGTGTCAAACATGCGTGCGACGGGCCAAGGTGAACAGGGCGGCGTCGGAAACGCGGGTTGTGAGGAAGAGGGTGAAGTCGATGACGATGACGAAGATGACTCGGATACTGATGAGGAGGAGGAGGACGGTGTTCAAGAAGTGACAGCTCGTGGGGGCAAGAAAAAAGGAAGCAATGGCCATGGGAAAGGTAAGGCCAAGAAAGGTGGCGAGGGGGGGGGCGGGAACAGGAGGGGGCTGTGGGATCTGAATGAATCCCTCGTTCTTGTGCAGTGCAAGAGGGATCAGGAGGACTACCTCGCGAATGTTGGTAGTAACTTCGCGCGGTTGAAGACGGAAGAGTGGAAGTGGACGGACATATCAAACCGGATGAGGCAGCAAGGTGTAATGAGAGACTGGGACTCGTGCATGAAGAGGTGGGAGAACGTCATTGGCCATTACAAGAAAGTGCTTGAGAGGGAGAAGGAGTCGGGTGTGCAATCCTTCTTCACACTGACGGCGAAGCAGAGCAAGCAGCTGGGGTACAAGTTCACGATGGACCAGATGGTGTATGATGCCATTGACGGGATGCAGCAGGGCAACCAGGCTATACATCTGCCAAATCTGGCGGACTCGGGCATTCCCCAACCTCAACAGTCCCAACAAGGCGAGCAAAGCCATGTCCACGGGCCACCGGCCACAGGCGAGACATCCGCCAGTGAAAACGGTGAAGGTGAAGGCGGTGATGGGTGCGGCACACGGTCGTCAGGTTCCGCACCCCACGGAAAGAGGAAGAATGCCCGCCAGCTCGCGTTCGACTCTGTGACTGATGTCATGAAGACCCACTCCACCGTCGTCGCTGATTCCGTGGACCGCGCAAGCAAACGACCGTGTGAGGTGATTAAGCGACAATGCGACATAATGGAACGCGAAGCGATGATGCAGGAAAGGCAATGCGAGGTGCTGGATGCCGGCCAGCGGATGCTTTGCGATGCTCTGCTGAAGATAGCGTCGGCGTTGTCCCGCTAGCGATAACTTTCGTCGTTGTCGGAAAAAAAAAAAAAGCGCTATATTCATGATGCTATTTCACCTCAAGCCACATTGACGATCCCGCTCCCTTACGGATGTGGACATTTTTTTTATATCGAATTTGAGGAGTTTTTTATCCCTTTTGTGTATTCTATTTTTTTTTTCCTTCCAACCTGTCCTTTATTATTTATTTTTTTTTGGCGGTTCGTTCGTTTGCACGCGATCCGACCAGTGCTGCACGGGTGTGGTTTCAATCACCGTCACTCACGCCTATAAAAACAGGGACAGCTGATGATGATCGGTAGCATTCTGCGACTATGCAGTGGTCGGTCAAGTGGGGTGGTCGTGCTGGTCATCGCGGATGACGTGGTTGACTTGCGCAGCACGGGCGGTGAAGGTCGTTGCACATACCTTCGCCGGTTTGCAAACCGTGGACGCGTGGCGGATGGTCGGGGTGTTCATTGCAGTGCAAGGGGGGAAGGTGCACAAAGCGAGGACGCGCGGCAGTCTTGCGGGCGGTGTTGTTCATTTGTAGGTTCAGCGTGTTCAGGGAGAGCATGGACGTCGTGGTCGCGCTGAGAGGGCGGATCGCGGGGCGGACGGTCGCCTTTTACGAAATGAGACACCACAGAGATAAGGACTGCGGACGGGCATTCGACTTCGTGCACACGGTCACTCGTTATGAAGTGAGGCACTTCGAGGTGGATGACAACGAGCGCGCTTGCCTGCGCTTGACTGTCGGTTACGGTTTCGCCCGTGGATTGCTCACACACGTTGTCGCTTTCGCGACGAAGGTCGGGGATGCGATTCCCGATCGGTGGGATTTCGGCGTTGATGTTCTCGCCGATCTCGTTGATCTTCTTGTTTCCAACGTGGCGATGGAGTTCAATGATCGCTTAGACAAGGCCGCTGCGTATAGGGTCCACATGGACCCGCCACTATACGGTCGTGAGAAGATGCATTCCTCTCTCTCTCTCTCTCTCTCTCTCTCTCTCTCTCTCTCTCTCTCTCTCTCTCTNAGAGAGAGAGAGAGAGAGAGAGAGAGAGAGAGAGAGAGAGAGAGAGAGTTCTCAGAGTGGCGGGCAGGAGGATTTCAGAGATGGTGATGGGGCATAGGAGGAGCTGGAGATGGGGAACCTCACCAGGGAGGGGGATGAATGAAGCTGCCTAACACGGAGGCAAACTGCCCCGCGGACGGGCCTGGGTATTGTGCAAAGTTGCCCACCCGGTATGGAGGGCAAACCGGGCAAAACAGGGTGCATACCCAGGCCCAAATGACGTGGTCCAGGTTGCAAATTTGCACATGGGCCTGACAGGGGTAAACTGGAAATTATTAGGCCCAAAAGTGCATTCCAATCTACCCACATATTGTAGGGGCATTTTGGCATATATCTCAACTAATAGGGGTATTTCACAAATTATCCCTATTCATTATTATAATGATAATCATCATATATTGGATATTTATAATATGATCTCTCTCTCTCTCTCTCTCTCTCTCTCTCTCTCTCTCTCTCTCTCTCTCTCTCTCTCTGTGCTTCGGCAAGGTTTGCTAAACTGTCCGGGCGTCACTGGAGAGCTATGCTCTCTGGTCTGTACCCCGGACTTCAGAAATTTTGGGGCTTCTACTAAGATCACAGGCAGGTAGATTAGTGAGAAATGAACGTAGCACATATATCCAACTTTTTTTTGGGACTTCGAAAAAAAACCGTAATTTTTGTATATTATTAGGGGAGGAATGTAGCGCATGAATACGGTTAAAGAAAATTCCTTTTCAGGTTGGGTATATTTCAAGGAAGGTACGTAGGCGACCGAGCTTATATACAAGAAAATAGCGATCGCACCACCACTTCGTTGTTCCGAGGAAACTTTAGAATCCGTAATTAAGGGGACAGAAATAGAAAAAAACTCAAAGCGACAAGGATCAGAAAAGGAGGTGCAGGGAATCCAGTGAAGGAGAAGAGATGGCGGCAGATGAAGAAGAGAACACCATGGGAGAGGCAGAGTCTGGGAACAAGGAGGGAAAGTACAGGATCGCGTTCCAAAGATGGATCTGGAGAGGAGATCCCGACATTAAATAATCGAATTTAGAAAGAAGGTCGGAACGACACAAAGTGGCAGCAGTGATCCCGGAGCCGAAAGAAGAGATGGTAAACGCGAAAGGGAGGGACAGGGTTTTTCGACTGTTCAAAAGGAGGAAAGGACGAGCGGAGAAAGGAACGCCACATGGATTGAAACCGGTTACCACGTACGGACAGATGCAGACAGCGACCTCGATCGGAATGACTACGAGACAAGAGAGTATGAGGTTAGAGGTAGGAGTAGGATAGTGTATACTCGTAGAAACCAGGTGAGGTAGTGTAATCCTGATCCCCGCACGGATGGGGTACGAGTATTTAAATGGAGGAGCAGCAACGAGTTAACATCTCGAAGTCCATTACTATCGCGTCATTCCTCGTGACTTTGTAGCCCCCTGATGAGTCTGTTGGGAGTACGCCGACAGCGAAACGCGTCGGGGCATTGCGAACTGAGGAGGAGTTATGTGGGTTTTTGTTTTTAAAGGATGAATGAGTGCTTGTACTTCAGCGAGTACCCTATGTTGGTTGGAGTTGAGTGTGCACGATTCACCATAGCGCACTTGAGTTCTATCTCCTTTTGTTGTGAATCTCTCTTGCGTGGTAACCGTCGTAATCTGTTTACTGGATCGGTGGCTACGGTGGTGCAGACTTTTGAAGAGACCTTTGGAGAGACCTTTGTGCTGATCTACTACGAAGAACGGTGGGCCTTTTTTATCGTTATCACAAACTTCCAGTGAATAACGTCTTCGCATCGAATCATCGAGATCGTACGAAGAGTACTCAAGTCGAGTGAAGGTGAAGATCAGCTAGTTACAGTGAACTTCAAGAGTTCTGAGGGGCGTACTAACTCATTCCTACCGGTATGACGATAGTGATGATCCGTGTATTGTGATCGTCTACGGGATCGCATGTTTCGTAGCGTGGTAAGGAAACTGGTAGGAGTGGGATGCGTTGTAGCGCTTCTAATTGGTAGCGTCTCCGTAATTCATAAGAGTGTAACAAGGGAATGGGGATTTGTGTAGGATATAGTTTTCCATATACGTATCACCTAGTTAATTAGAAAAGAGATAGTATGAGTACTAGAAATTTTAGAGATCTAGAATTTGAGAGACAATTTTTCGAATTTCATAAGCTTTTGGAAAAAGTTTTGGTACCTGCGTTCTTCGTAGCATTAGAATTCCTGGAACAAGAGACTAAAGAAAAAGCTATCATTACGTTTGAAAGAGCACTAGGCAGACTCCATAGCCTCGGGTGTTTAGTACGAGATAGGAGAGTGAGAAGAAGGAAAAAAGAGAGAAGGAGGCGCTGGCATGGCGGGACAACAGCTCGGTGCCCCTCCGCTTGCCTATCCCGGCGGAATCCCTCAGCCAGCTTTCGCAGGGGGAACCCAGCCGGGAGCAGTTCAGTGTTATATACGTGGAAAATATGGGCATTACGCCAGGAACTGCTGGGCAGCCGGGAACACGCGCCCTCAGCAACAGCAGTTTCAACAGCAGACGAGTCAGAAACACGATGATGATGAAACGAGCGAAATGAAGGCCTATTTCAGGAAGAAGATACATAAGCAGAAACTAGAAGAGGAAAAGAGGGAAAAGGAGGAAGAGGAAAGACGGAGAAGACAAAACGAGGAAAGGAAAGAAGCTGATCGACTACGAGAATTAGAGGCAAGAGAAGCTAGACTCGAAGCGAAGCTGCTGAGACTAATAAGCCAACATACCAAGACTGTAAGCATTCCGGCGCCTCACATTGAGAAGAAGAAATCTCCTCGTACGAAAGCACGCATGCTTAGAGAGATTCGAAGCTATCTGGATGAATCAAAGAATGAGAGCGACGAGGTCAAAGAAGAGGCAGGAAGACTCGTCGACGCTATTGAGAAGCGAAAAGGGAAACATAAGATTAATGGAGGAGAAGCGTGGTTATCGAATATGAAGATGCGCGCGTCAAAATTCACACCAATCGACATCGATGATCTACCAGATGAATTGTGGACTCCGCCAACTCGGAAGAGAGATGGGAGAAACGATGCGCGTGAGGAGAACATCCTCGAGTTTGCGCTGGACTTACACCAGAAATGGTCGGCCATCAAAGCACCGGAGCTGAAGAAGATCTGCAACAAAGAGAGTATCAAGTGGACCAAGAAAGAGACAGCAATAACCGAACTCGTGAGATGCCGAACGAAGTTGGTGTACGGCGAGGGAGGTACGGGAAATCAAGGTGCTACTTCTCTATCCGGTAAATGAGAAGTAGATACGCCTGTATCTCGATGATCTCGATTTGAAGGTGAATGGAAGTGAGGAACGAACGAACTAGGAAGGAAGGAGTAGTCACATGGAGTATTTACGAGATCTCGCCCTAGCGATGACCAGTGATCAAAGAGGTAGAAGGGTAGGAGCGTTTGGATTCATACAAGAACAGGAAGAATGCATCACTAGACTGTTCATCCTAGCCGTGATTCATGGATGTTGTCCTTGGGAGAGGAAGTGGGTAGGAGTGATTGGGGAAGGAGAAGGGGATCTGTCCATCCGGAACTCCGGCGTGTATGCCCTGGTTAGTCCGTGGTGTAGAGACTTCTACATCGGATGTACTAACCGGAGCTACTACATATGATGGTTCGAGCACATTAAGTTCGCGATTAAAGGAAAACTAGGCAAATCGCCGAAGCGACATATGTGGATGAAGATTTTCGGATGGAGGAAGTACCTGATGCTTCCATTGGTGACCGGGGTTCCAGAACCTGCGATAATCAAGAAAACGCTTATAAAGCGTTTCTCTCCGGCCCTGAATGTCCAGGGAAGGACAGCGGGCGTGAAGAGATCCAAGAGAAGAAAGGGGAAGAGAGAGAGGGGGAAGCGCGCCACACAAGCGAAGCAGGGGAAAGTGATTACTTTCAACGGGAGAGCATCACTCATTGAAGTGCTCAAGGAACATCCCAGACCTGCGAAGATTATCTCCCCAGGAGGTGAGATATGGGCAGATGGTTGGAAGAGAGTGTAGAGTTTTTTGGGAGAGATTACAGTTCGTGTGGAAGGAAGAAATCGCCTCATCAAGGAATGCAAAACACATCTAGAGAAGGGAGGGAGATTCGGGATCACAAGAGTGAAAATTCTATCCTCTAGGGCAGAACGGAGAAAGAACGTACTACTGGGAATACTAAGACGACCTTGGAGGACAAGGGAGCTGTACCGGAAGAGCGCACGAGAACTCATCACACTGTATAAGTCCGCCTCTACGTTCGGGAGGAAGCCTACCAGATATCTTCTGAAGAACAGGATCACCAGAGTCGTGAAGGTGGTGTTCGGGACTGAATTCAGAAAGCGTCCCTTGGTGAAGATTCCTTTTTCCGCTGATATTGATAAAAGAAAGGTAAGAGATATCACAGCTACAGCAGTGAACGATCATAGTAGATCGAGAGATTGGGGAATACGTAGCTGGGAGGGTGCGTATAGTGTTTCGCAAATCTAGGATAGTAGGGCAGATTTTGCACAATCATTGGGTATGCTCCGGAGCAAGAGAGGTAGTATTCAACTGTCTGACATCCTCTTTGCCGAAGATACAGGGTCATGTCAAAGTACGGATAGACGAGATACCGGGAGCACCTGACTTCGTCAAGAACTCTCGAAACGTCACTTACGGTGAGGAAGTATCGATTGAATCTTTGAGAAAATGTATCACCGAGGCACTGAGAACGTGGGACAAGAGTAAAAACACTCAGATACGGAAGCAAGATCTTTATGGATGTTATACTGGAAGACCGCTGGAGAAATGCAGGGCAATGAGCGGACAGCAAGTGAGGGCATGGGCAGAACAGATCGCATGTTTAGTTGCTATACCGCTCGATCGTAATCCCGGTGGGACTCTGGTATTATGTCCATTACTCTATCACCACGCATGCAAACTCATATACAACAAGAACGCCTGTTTCGTGCCGATTATGAAATCCAAGGAACAGGTGATGAAAGAGATGAAAAGAAATTATGAGAGTGAGGGTATGAAATCGATAGCGAACTGGGCAAATGGAGGGAAGATAGGGGGTGCATACGTATTACCAAAAGATAAGGATACAAATAGATGGCGACCCATATCTCCTATATCCCACGATCCAACAAGATTGGCAAGCTCCAGGCTTGGACGAGCAATCAGACATATGATGTTCGCCATTGGAGATCAGATGCATTTCGATCTTCGTTTCATTGAAGATTTGAGAAAGAAATGCATTCAAGTTCAAGAAGATTTGAGATCCGTCTGTAAAATAGCTTTGGCTCGTAGCTATGATGTGAAAGATATGTTTGCGAAGTTAACACACGAGAGTGTGGTCGATGCAGCTAACTGGGTAGTAGATTACCATCGCCGAAAAAATCTAGTTGGGGTGAGGGTGAGTAGGAGAGGGAAGATATTCATGATGGCCAGAAATCCTAGAAAGACGGAAGGTTTTGTGTTCATGGATTTTGAGAAAATTTTGAAAGCCGTGAAATTTGAGCTCAATAACGCATTCACTAGGTGTGCAGGGGAAATCATAAAACAGGTCTTCGGAATACCAATGGGACGAAATTCGAGTCCAGCTCTTGCTTGTTTAGTCTATGCGAAGTCAGAGGCCATTTTTCTCAGATCACTTGGGCGGGATCAAAGATTAGTCAAAGGGATTAGGATGGTCGATGATGTTGCAATTTTTGTGGGATTAAACACAGAGGATGAACATCCTGAGGGGAAAGCGGCTACTATCCTTCATCGTTTTGAATCATGCTATGAAGCAAGCCTGAAACTCGTTCGGAAGGACGGACGAGCCAACTCGATGGAATTCCTAGGCACCCAAGTCATCATGGATTTGGACCCAATATGCGTGCATGTGCATCCAAAAACGAGAAATCAGCGACCACTCGTGGAATATGGGCACCTCAAGATTCACTCCATGCAAGACTTCCACTCTTTTTCGAAGAAGTCTACCAAAAAAGTTACCTTGGTAGCAAGTATGATGAGAGCATCTCGACTTTCAACCTCAGATGAGGCAACTTTGGAGAATATTACCGCGATGGTGATGGAAGCAAACCTCCGGGGATATCCCCCGAAGGTCTCTCTCAGTGCTTTGGCAAGGTTTGCCAAACTGTCCGGGCGTCACTGGAGAGCTACGCTCTCTGGTCTGTACCGCGGACTTCAGAAATTTTAAGGCTTCTACTAAGATCACAGGCAGGTACATTGGTGAGAAATGAACGTAGCATATATATCCAGCTTATTTTTGGGACTTCGAAAAAAAACCGTAATTTTTGTACATTATTAGGGGAGGAATGTAAACAGGGGATTCGTGAAAACCTCACAATCAGAGAAAACCTAACATTTTTTATAGAATGAAAAAGTAAAAGTCAAACTGTTATTTTTTACACAAAAAGAGAGCGTTTTTAATCGTTTTGCGATAAAGGAGGCAAAAAATCAGGTTAAAAGTCTAGCGTTCCTCAAAATGTGCAAGAAAACTTTTCCTTGCAAAATGCTTTTATATGACTATAAAAGTCATTCTCAGTAGATTGGCAAAAAAACAGAGTTCAAACAGGGTAATTTTTAAGGATGACAAGGCAAACTTGAAAGATGTAAAAAAAACGTGTTTTGGTGAATACTGATTTATAGGACTATAAGTTAGTTTCCGCAGTTAGGTAAACGCCAAGCTCTACACAAAATAATTTATAGGACTATAAATCACTTTTGAACTTAACAATAAAACCCTTATCAAAAAATATATGTCATTTAAAATAAGAATACAAACAACTTTTGCCTCGGAGACACCTTGAAATTCTTAGCCAAACACTAGTTTAAAATAAAAATATAGGGAAAAAAATTAAAACAAACAATAAAAAATAATATATTCGCCCCTGTATAGGAAACCATGTTCAAGCGAACGTATTCACAAACAGGAGAATATATTTGCTCGTTCGAAAAACCCCTGAATAAATTCATCGTGCTACACATCTTATAGGACTATAAACACAATTTTTTTGGATAACAAAAAATCAGGATATTTCAGTTCTTGAACCTACGATGTTTCACCAGGTCGTGATTTTCAATGAAAAAACCCGCTTTTTTCCTCGCCCCCTCCAGTAGTTCTGAAAATTTGAATTTCTGTTCTTTTTTTTGCGGATGTTTCACTTCAAGTATAATTTTGTTCCTGGAGGAGACCTGAAAAACGTACTATCATAATCTTGAATACATTTCGTGCAAACCTAACAATTTGTTTTGTTAGGTTTTCATGAATCCTATGTTTGTAGCGCATGAATACGGTTACAGAAAATTTCTTTTCAGGTTGGGTATATTTAAAGGAAGGTACGTAGGCGACCGAGCTTATATGCAAGAAAATAGTGATCGCACCACCACTTTGTTGTTCCGAGGAAACTTTACAATCCGTAATTAAGGGGACAGAAATAGAAAAAAACTCAGAACGACAAGGATCATAAGAGGGGGTGTAGGGAATCCGGTGAAGGAGAGGAGATGGCGGCAGATGAAGAAGAGAACGCCATGGGAGAAGCAGAGTCTGGGAACAAGGAGGGAAAGTACAGGATCGCGTTCCAAAGATGGATTTGGAGAGGAGATCCCCACATTAAAGGATCGAATTTAGAAAGAAGGTCGGAACGACACAAAGTGGCAGTAGTGATCCCGGAGCCGAAAGAAGAGATGGTAAAAGCGAAAGGGAGAGACAAAGTTTTTCGACTGTTCAGAAGGAGGAAAGGATGAGCGGAGAAAGGAATGCCACATGGATTGAAATCGGTTACCACATACGGACAAATGCAGACAGCTACCTCGATCGGAATGACTACGAGACAAAAGAGTATGAGGTTAGAGGTAGGAGTAGGATAGTGTATACTCGTGGAAACCAGGTGAGGTAGTGTGGTCCTGATCCCCGCACAGATGGCGTACGAGTATTTAAATGGAGGAGCAGCAGCGAGTTAACATTTCGAAGTCCATTACTATCGCGCCATTCATCGTGACTTCGTAGCCCCCTGATGAGTCAGTTGGGAGTACGCCGACAGCGAAACGCGTCGGGGCATTGCGTACTCAGGAGGAGTTATGTGGGTTTTGTTTTTAAAGGATGAATGAGTGCTTGTACCTCAGCGAGTACTGTCTGATGAGACTTTTTGCACTACGAGTGTTGGTTGGAGTTGAGTGTGCATGATTCACTATAGCGCACTTGAGTTCTATCTCCTTCTGTTGTGAATCTCCCTCCCTCTCTCTCTCTCTCTCTCTCTCTCTCTCTCTCTCTCTCTCTCTCTCTCTCTCTCTCTCTCTCGTTCGCGCTACAAAAGTTGAACGGAATGTTTCCTCGTGATTTCTCTTTGTTTTCTTTTGATTCTTTTCTTTTTTTCTTTT